TGAATTATTATTTATTAAAAATGTTTACCTGGAATACGTTAGCACTGAATGCGGCGAATGGCGGTGTCAAACTTAAACCAGAACCACGAAGGTATTCTACAACACGACCCAAAGTTTGTCTTTTGACTAATAAATTCGTTCGTCTCCTTAAAACGTCTCCGATCGTGTTGAAGTCAACTTCTTCTACGTGTCCATCGTAATACTGCTGTACTCGTTCTTTATAGAATTCTAGTATTTTTCCATTTCCCTAAAAACAAAAATACAATTTATAAAAATTGATTTGTTTGAGATATAAAAATACTGTGAAGTATATTAATATTAAGTATGGAGCCGTGGAGGTGAATATAAAAAAAATATATAAAAATGTTTTTTTGTGATAATAACTATATTATTACCTTGTGGCTGTAGATCTCCCGAACGAAAGACGCAGTGGCCACACCTGGATTGTTGACGTTGGTTATTGAGTGCGTTATGTTCCTGAGAACTTGGTGAGGATTGAAAGTGACCATGTCATCAAGCCTAAGCACGTCGTTCATCTGACCAGAAGTAGAACCACGGGCACCTAGGAATACCATGGCCAGCATAGCGGTCAGCTCGAACGGAGACAGTACCAGACTTCTCGAGGCTATCTGACCTTTTCCGGTAACGGCTGTCCACATCTTGAACGACAGCTCGTTACATAGGTCGGCAAATCGACGTACATCATCGCCCAAGAACGCTACACTCGCTTCCATGCCCATGCTCTCGTGAGGTGCAGGATGCAATTCGACTGTGGACGGAGATGCACTGTTGGCCATCTGTGGTCTATAAGCGTTGGACGATGGACCAGGTGATTTTACTGCAGGCGGCAAAGTGAAAGTGGCTGGCGTGGACCAACTGGTGTAGTTTGTCGTGGCTGCAGCTACCGTAGAGTTTTCGGATACTGGTGTCATTGAGTTTTGGACTTCATATTCTGCAGCCGTGGCTGTAGCTGCTGCTGATGCAGTAGCCGCTGTTGGTGCTGTTGATACAGTTGCTGCTGCTGCTGCTGTTGCTGTTGCTATTGCCGCTTTCACTGATGGGGTTAGTGATGGTGGTATTGTCGTGGTGGTCGATGTGGATGGTACGGTTTCGGTTGACATTGTCACCTCCCTCGTCACCTGAGCGACATACGGAGTGAACGTTGTGGCTACTAGTTCTTCATTACTGGTTGCCGGATTGGTAGCGGCTCCACGATTTTCAAATGGTGTAGTGTTGTCGAAAAACACTTGCGTTTCCGATGACAAATCGTCCAATTTGGCCACTTGCCCGGGACCTCCGGTGGAGCTGACATTGAACACAGTCAACATTTCCAAGCCAGGTTCTGAATTTCGTAACACCTCTTCTGTGTCGTTAGTGGTCACTGTTTCTGCGGCGATCGTGTCGTTTGGCTCCGGGAACTTGGTGGCCAATTCAGCTGCATTAGTAGTCAAGTCATAAAATTCCTGTGTGGCCGAATTCTCGGACACAGCAAATGTGGTGGTCTCTTCAAAGTCCGACTTAACCGTCGCCTGTTTTCGGCTAGCTTGTTCAGTGGATGATTGTTTTCCCTCAGCCAAAGATAATTTCTCATAGAGGCGATCACCAATTTCCTGGTACTCCGTGTCAAGAACCGCCGCTACGGCCGGCTTTTGTGTGTTTTGCAACATGCTAGCTACCGCGTTTATACCGTCTTTGAGCATCAGGTCTACGCCCGGCGAACTGATGTTGTTTTCGGTTTCTGGTCTATCTTTCAATTGTAACTCAGGAAGGAAATGTGTGACTGGAACGTATTGAGTTTCTGATTCTGGTGTTGTAAATGTGACTGAGGTCGCATTAGCGACCGTGGTCCTAGCCGCTGTACTAGGCGATATCGAACCTACTTCGGCATTGATAGCGGTCTGTGTTATTGGTGTGCCAGTTGTAATCTGAGCAGACGTAGAAACGACCGTCAACATACTCGCTGCACTCGTTGAAGCCGCAGTCGTCGTCGCTACCATTACACCGGTATCTGCAGCTTCCACAGCAGTTTTTACTGCTTCCATTCCTGTTGCCGTTGTGGTCTCCAATGTCGTAATCGCCACTGTTTCTGTTGTAGTTGATGTTGTTGTAGTTGGTGATGTTGTAGTTGGTGTTGTTGTAGTTGGTGTTGTTGTAGTTGGTGTTGTTGTAGTTGATGCTGTTGTAGTTGGTGCTGTTGTTGTCGTCGTAGTTGTTGTTGTCCCTAAATCTCCAACTGATGACGAGATCATTGATACCGGAATTCCAGTTATAGTGTTTACCGCCGACGGTGTTGTAGTCGACATGGAGGCCGTGAGTGTTTGTGCGCTAACAGTAGTTGGAGGTACGGTACTAGTGGAGACGCTGGAAGCTGTTGATGTTTTAGTCATAAAAGACGATATTAAATCTCTAATAACGTTAGCGTCTGTAACAGAGTTTAATGGCTGACTGTTGCTGGAAAAGAACGATTTTTCGGTACTCATGTATGGAGTAGTTGAAGGATATGCAGTTGGATGTTGGGCGGTCATTGGCCATTCTTCTACTTTAACTGACACATATTTATCGGGTTCTGTTTGACTACGAATAGTTGTTGTAGACGAACCAAATCCGAAATTTGGAATAGCCGTAGTTTTTAACTCTTGTATGCGATTTGACAAAGTGACATTCGTTCGATTTATGCCATTTGGTCGATTTGAAGTGACTTTAGTCTGGAAAACTTTAACGGGCTCTTTGACGAGCTTATTCTTCGCCTCCTCGGTTGAATTCCAAAATGTATCTACTGGTTGTTTCATGCTAAGAGTTGCATTATTTATCGTTTTGTTAACAACTTTTACGAAACTGTCAATTAATTTGTTTGGATAAGCTTGAGTGGTTTGTGTAATTTTTTGCATATATTTAGTTGACATATTACTTGGTGGGTAATGGTAGTTATTTCTAGTAGTAGAAACAGTAGTCGAATTAAATTTATTAATTGATGATGGTTTTGTCACATAAGAGGCTGTAGTAGCATTCACATATGGTCGAGATTTAGTCACATTAGACTTGGGTGGTGCAAATCTTGTTGCTGTGATGGTAGGGTTAGTCTTTTGTGAAAATGGCATGTCTGTTGTTGTAGTTTTATACTTCATTGTAATTGGAGGTTTTCTAGCTGATGTCAAAGCTTCTGTCACAGGTTTCAAAGCACCACCAGTGCTCAATGACATTGCTATTGGACTGTAGTAACTTAATTCTGGCGAACTCTCTTCTGGTACATAATCTACGGTACTATCTTTTTCTACTAAATCATTAGTCTGTAAAGGTTTGTGGTTGGACGATTGGCTATCAGTAACTTGCGACAGCATATCTGATATAGAAGCTGACATTTCTTTATTTATCTCAAGGCTATCTGCCATGATAGATGGTTTAGTAGTTGAATGCACAGTTAAAATTGGTTTTTGTAGTGCTGGCTTTTGTTTCTCAAATGACTGTATTGGCCTAAAAGGTTTTTTAGTCGTTGATGGTTTAAGTGTTGTCCACTGTGTTGTTGATTGTGTGGTTGGCTGTGTTGTTGACTGTGTTGTTGATTGTGTTGGAGTGAATTTCGACGTTACTTCAGGTTTAACCGTGGAGTATTTAGGTGTTGACCTCACTTTTTCTGTTGTAGTGGCTACTTGTGTTTTTATAGATGACTGTGGCAATTTAAGTGTCGTCGATTGAGGTTGCATTGATACTAACGGTGTTTTATTAGATGACAATGGTTTTTTAGTCAATGGAATGTCCATTGACTCAGTTGTTTTGGACGGAAGCAAGTATCCGGAAAGATGAGCTACGTCATCTGGAGTTTCAATTAGTCCTGGAAATAAGGCTGACCACGCGGACGCTGAATCTGGGCGATGTAAAGATGTGCTCGACATAGAAGGAATAGGTTTACCTGAGTTAGCAGCCATTTCATTTTTCAGTACATTTTGTACACTTTCCAGAACCTTGTGAACTGCCGGTGCATCAAGTGATTCGAGATCTGAAGCGGGTAAGTGCATAAGTGCTTCTGATGAGTGACTTGATAGTGCATCATGATAATATGTAGGGGAAGCGTCAGCCATCACTGATTCTGGATCTGCTCCAGCAATTAAACCATGTATTTCATCCAATGTCATTAATCGTTTAACTAAATCCCCCGTCTCGTCAAACGTATAAAACTCATAACGGTCAGGTGATAGTAAATTACCAGGACTACCGATTATGGTATCTGTAGGTTTATGTATGTTTTTACTTTGACCATCAGCAAAATATGTTTTAGTGCCATTGCCATGATCCATTATTACAGATACTGATGTTACCACACTAAGTTAAATAAATAAACATTAATTACTGATTATATTATAACTTTAAATGTTAATTTAACATACCTTGAACCAAGAACTCTTCTTGAGTCTTCGGAATCTGTTTCTGATTGAGAAGTAACCCTGGAAGGAACACATTGCGCTGCAGATAGCAAGCACAGAGTCACCAGCCACCGGGTATCGATACCCGCCATGTCTAAATCTTACATTAGTTTAGAACACCTAAACAAAAATATTATTTATTTATTATTGAATTAACAATACTAATATCAAATTATTTATGTATGATAATTTAATATTTCAAAGTAAAATAATAAAACAAGAATATTTTCTGAAATATTTTTTGAACAAGATCTAAAATGTTAACTGTAAAAACAAATTAGTACGATTCATCGCTAAATTATAAACTTGTATGCTATTAACTGTTTTAGATAGGTTGCATGAACCAGAGCGTGAAAACGACTGTGAGTATAAATGTTTTATAACACGTTGACAATTTAGACTTTAAAAAATATATTTTTTTAAGCCTTATAAGTAGGTAAATATATATAGTCGTATAAACTAGATACAACATTATACAACATAAATATTATACGTAGGTAATACATATGGAAATAAGTTTATTTGATTGAAATAGACTATCACGCATAGTGATAATTATTATAATAATTTTTTATTAAACATTAATAAATTAAATTAATTATTCAAAATATTTATTCATAATTTGTAAAGATCTAGACATATAACTATAGTCTATAGGTATATGTAATAGATATTTTAAAAATCAATTAATAATTTGTGAATAATTATACACTACTACCAACTGTTAAACTATTAAATAATGTAAAATATGTCATCAATAAGTTAGATGATAACCTTGTCAGGAACTCTTTATAATAAAAAAAAAAAACAAATGAAATATTCTTTGATGTGCGATCGGATTTGTTAAATTATCCCTATTAGTCATTATGTAGCTATCAATATTAGGTACTCTTATATTAATTATATTAATGATTTTGGTCTGCTGAATGAATAATCTGTGCCGCCAAAGAATAATAATTACCTGTGGTTTTTACATTTTTGTATCATGAGTGTTTGACGATGACAACGATCAGTCAACGACTTGTGTCGTTTCTTATTTCCAAGAGGATAATGGACATAAGATATTATTATTTCCATGACATATCGTCCTTGTGCCAATGTTAAACCGAGACGAACGTTGGCTCGTTCGCGGAGGACACATAACAACAAAAATAATAATAATAATGTATATTATTATTATAATTTTAAGAACGTTTTCAAACGGTTTTTTTTCAATTTTTTTTCATTTTCAATTTTTATTGTGCGAAATATTTACCCATCGCGATTATCCTTCGATAACGAGCAATAGATTCCATCGAATTGCACGGGCAATTTTCTCCTCAAACTGGGTTAATATGTTACTGTAGCTTTTAGACCTTTTCCAAATTCGTGTCAATGAATTCCATAAAAACCATCGAAATGATATTATAAATACCAGATGGTGAAGAAAAAATACGATACAATATGTAATAATATAATACGTGACGAATCAAAAATGAAATTTTCCCATATTGCTTTTAATTCATATTCTAATTTATTTTTGCGAAGGTTTTCTTCGTATTGTGGCTTCTAAAATACTGCAAGTACCTATGTCTGTTTGAATGCGAATCGATTGACTAAAATATCTGCGTGTACTCATGCGATTAACAAATTCAATAGAATATTATATTGCACAATTGGTTTACGAAAACTAAAAAAATTTAATTTGATTCGTGTTCAATTCAATTATATCAACATGTATGTAATTCACGTAAGCCTACGATATTACAACTATTTTCCATTTAATTTCCACGGATCGATGTTTATGTCGTGTTTATTGATTTTTTGACAACTACACACACGGTCAAACTAACCATTATTTATAAAAAAAAAAAAACTGTAACAATCGATTATTCGAATAAAGAAAATTAGGTAATAAGGAAAATGGAATGAAAAAATCTATACAACGCTTGTTATATATATATTTAAAAAAATAGGTACTTAATAAACAATCAAATTATCAATGTATCTATTTTAAAATTTCTTTAACGTTTTATATTAAAATATCCGTATTTTAACTTTTAAGACGGTTGTACCCATATGTTCTGTTTTATTATATTTTATAAATTCAACTATTTAGTCAAACAGTTATATAAATGTATATATGTATATTAATTAATTTAGATTTAATTCAAACTAATTTAAAAAGTATAATTAACTAGTTGCACTGAAATGTATAAAAAAGCATCATTCTATAAACTCTACAGAATTCAGTAAAATAGAAATGAAATGAAGTCATGAAAATAATAAGAATATATAAAACCAATTTACGAATCACGTATGTAACAGAAAATAATCTGATTACATAAAACGTCAAAATGTAATAAACACAACATAAAAATCTTGTATAGTTCATTTCACATTTGACAATATCCTCGGTAATATCATTCGCCATACTATTTAAAAGAAAAAAACAAGTATAATAATTCTGTTTTATGGGTCAGTGATCTCAAGATGAGGTGTTGAGAAGACGAACATTTTAAATACACACCTGCCAAAAACAAACATTCAACGAAAAGTAACGTTAAGCACATATTGCAGGTATCTCTATAAATACATCCTTGTCCAACAGAAAACCGTTATCGACGTCGCGTCGTTTAACCGGTCATCGCAGGGTTACAGATACATGTTTAAATCATTACTAAAAATAATAGCTATTATTGAATAATGCAAAACAGTAGGTAAACATGGTAATAACAAAAACACCAGGATTCCGTTAATGTGGGCAGTATAAAAAACGCACTACAAACCTTTAAAGTTTTTTTTTAATTTAAGTGAACCTAATAGGAATACTAACACTTATGTAGCCCCAGATTTTGTTCGTCCCTGTCCCCTGAACAGTAACATAATTCCTGTCATAAAAAAACAAGTGAAGTGATTTTGAACAGTGTTCGTTAAGTCAGAGTTTATGAAGACTGTCAATCGCGATAGCGGTTGTACTAAAGATTTGGAAATAATGAGTCAAAACAGTGCAATACTTCCACAAAACTCGATCAAGAAAATACCAGTCAGAAGCGGGAGTTATTCAACCGATTAGGTTGTCTCGTACTCTTGTCCGTATCCACGTACTATAACGTAATATGACTGAATCGACAGGACCCCAGTCTGAGGTCATCTGACTGTGTAGCAATAACAGATAATAAGTACCAATTATAATTATTATTACGGTTATAACCAATATTATACGCGAAGCTTGGGTAAAAAATCAATGTAAAAAAAATAAAAGACAAACATGTGAAGACTGTTCAAGGAAAATATTACCAGATTGTTAATAACAACAATTAATGCTCTGAAAATGATTTTAAAAAAATAACAAAGGATTCAAATTTAACTTTAAATAGAAATCATAGTTTTTTCTGAAAAAATGTATATATATAACTACACTAAATTTTGTCATAATTTTACTTGCACCCATAAGTCATAATACTATAATACCACTATATATGTAATATTACTAAAAATACAATTAAAATGTAGTTGGGTACATATTAGACCAAAGTTATTGTTTCTCATGAAAAAAATATATTAATTAAAAATAAATTGTGCAACGTAGTTTTGTTGTTCGACTTAATTATTATTCAACAATCCAAAATTTAGTTAAAAATTAAAATTAAAATCAAACATTGTTGTTTTGATATAAGTATAAATAGCATAATCCTTTTGTAAATTTAGTGACTTTTATTGGTATGTATACTATGCTAAGTAACGAATGTTCATGTATATCTGACGAACTATAAAATCCGATTTTGTTAGGGTAAATAATAATCATTTTAGTGGGAATATGGAACGCACCCATCGTAACGCACTTCTTTCTTATCGACAAACAACCGAAATAACTCACGTGTGACATGCAAAGAACAAACAACCAAATATATAGTCTTCAACGTAAAAACGCTTAAAATCCTCAACAACACATCTTCACTAAAGTAAGAATTCAATATGAAGAAAATCCTGAAGCAATTTATAAAAAAATTCACAAAATAAACTTTTATCAAAAACTATAAAATTACCATTAGCACTTAATACCTGTATTAAGTTTTAATGAAAATTTGACTGATAAACTTTGTTGTTACAGTATTAATCCTTCAAAAATCAAAATTAATATTATTGTAATAATAGAACCTAGGTACCTACTCACAATGTGAATTTGCTTTGATCTTAATGTTATAAGATTCATAATGTTGGACTTGTATTTTTGATATATTTTTATCAGTTACCCCTTTTATAGTTGTTTAGGCACAAATTAAGAACTAATAAATGAATATAATTAATTGAGTCAATTAAAAAAAATTATTTTTGTATTTTCATTATTTTTACAAACAATACAGTAGAGACATTCTACTATGTTATAATTTATATTTGTACTGAGATCACAGAGATCAGCAGAACTTACTTCTATTGCTATGTACAAAGTAATACAACTTCTCTAGACAATAATAAAAGATTCATAAAATTAAGAAATTCTATATTTATACTCCTTATTACGAAAATGAAAATGGAAGTAAAAAAAAATTTTTTTGCCGCGGTTTTATATCGAGGTATCAATCAAACTATATTTCGATCGTCTTCAAGACGATTTATACAATAAAGACCAGTAGCAGTATTGAAGGCTGCCATAAAGCTGCCATAATTTTACGATGATGATTTCTACCGATTAATTGGAAATCGTCCGATGCGTGCGGCTAAAAAAGGAAGATAATAGGTAGGTACTGCAATTTTGAACAAACGTAAATCAGCAAGAATGCAACACAAAAAAAAAAATAATAAATAAATAAGTAACTCGTGGATTATTCGAAAGGTACGCACTAAATATCGTTCAATGGTTTTCGAAAATCTCTCGCAACAGATCATAATGTATTATTATTATGGCATTGCCCTAGATTTCAATGTTTACGAATGCATATTTAATTCGATGCGTCTCCCCACAAGTACGAGGAGCACGTCGTCCGGTTCCGGGCGTCTTGTTCTCGTCTCGTCGTTCGTCTTCGTGTGATGACATCGTCATCGCTTTTACGAAAAACTGTCAACAAAACACATCGTCACTGCAACAGGTGCTACACAATGCGCTCAGCACAATGTCGCTCATTCGGGCTAATGGACAA